TGACATAAATTTTTTTTCATTGATTCAATATTGCTTAGTGACCCTAGTAGATTCAAAGTTTGATATAAATTTTCATATGACAAAAAACAGTTAAAATTTTGTTGACCAGTGTTATTAGTCTCAGAATAAAAATAGTTAACTTTATTTTTTGTCACTGGACGTAGCAAACAGTAAACTTTCCATAAAAATATACCAAATCCAATTGTTTTCACATCTCACTTTGAAATTTCTTTTTCTGATTTTATATTCTATACCAACAAAACACTCACCTCCACACATGAACAATGCTCTCTTGAGCAATGAGTCTCTTTACGTTAAAAGTTGTTTTCAATCACTGTCATACCACTCGAATTATCATTTTATAAGTGGACATACTTGCTTACCTTGTCCTCGAAAAAACACAAAAAACAACAACAACAATATATCAATTTGAGTGGTTCTGACTAATAAAGTATACGTATATATTATTATAAACACTATCGATATTCACCGAATAGGAGGACGAGTTTCTCACCACTTTGAAATTAATTCAGAAATTCTTTGTAGAAACTGAAAATGAAAACATTTTTTGTTCTGTGAACAAAAGTATAGCATGAAAACGAAATGTTTATTATTTCTAGTTGGATATTTGGAATCGATAAAAACACAAATAGATACTGAACACTTTTGAATCCATAAGATACAATTTATTCAAATATAATAATGAAAAACCAAAGTTTTTTTCTGTGAAGGAGAATCAGATTTTAAACAAAGTAATTTTCACAAAGAGAAACGTTCTGTTCATCAGCAACTCACTGTATTTACCAATTTTCCTTCCAAAAAATAGCCTCAATATAATACAATACTCATCTTAACGTTTCGAATGCCAAAATCTGCCTCCGTCTTCAGAAATGGACAAAAAATTCAAATTCATATGGATTTATTCCTTGGCTGATTATTCATATCTCAACTTCTTCGACAGATATCAATGAACTTTCGAAATGTGAATTATGTCAATGTTGTTGATTGACTACTGAAACAGTCGATATATGACTGATGATATAAACACGTCCGGAATTTGACTCCCTCCTACCCATTTGCAGAAATCATCATTTTCGGATGTGAATGAAATGCCTCGTCTGTGATAGCAACTGAACGGAAGATTACTTCGACAACGCCACTTATTATACTTTCCCTACAGATTCGTGAAAAAATCCAGTTGCTGTAGCTGCCTGACGAGCCGATTCATTGCAAACTATCTGTTTAAAATCTACTATTCCGTTAACCAGCTGTCGCACCCCTACGAACGACAACTCTCAAAAGTTGAAACTTGTGCGAGCTAAGGACTAACGAGGTCTTAACTTTTAACGTGTGATTCCCAACACGGGTGGACGATAGCGAGTGCAAATCGATCGTTCAGACTGGGGCTTGAACCACCGACCAACACGGCGTTCGATTTGAGCGAGTGAACAAAGCACCCACGTGGACGACGGTTAGGACGAACGATTTGAGGAACGGGGGGACGCAGCACTCGTGACTCCTTCCTAGTTCTTTGAAAGGGAAATAAGAGCGTTCTGGAAACTCTTCGTCTGAGGCAGCGGTCTTAGAGTGGTGCGGAAGTTTTGCGGGAAGTAAATGTGAATTTTGAGGAGGTTCGAAAACTTGGGATTTTGAAAGGTTCTCTTAAAAGTCAATCATGGAATTCCTGCGTTGATTTTTTGATTTATTTATACTTCGAAAATAGTCGATCAGCGCGATTTTGAGTACTCTATTATTCTGACGTAGGAATGAATGAACGTGTAGGTGTGTTCAAGCGGAAATCGATCAGTGTAGAACAGAAGTTCAAATAAGGGACGAGCAAGAAATAGGCAGTAGTGAGTTGAATATACACGTGTACTAACTATTTCATGAAAGGAGTTAGCTATAATAAATTTGTATACAGAGTGGACCTTATAATTGCCTCATAGATATTTAGTGATTAGAAATCATAGGCTGAGTTAGAGTATTTCGTCACTCTCGTATATTATAATGATTTCCGGCGAAGGCACGAATATTGAGTTATATTTTCTTTGAGATTTGCTCATGTTCAGATCCTTTTTTTCAGTTGTCCTTTAACACACGAGAAAAAAAAATCAACTCAAAACTCATTAAACATCATTTAATCAATTTATTTATGCCTCATTGAACATTCAAATGGAAAAAAACTGTTGAAAAAAAATTACGGACCCCGGTCTCAGAGACACTGCGCGACTAAACTTGTTACAAAAAATCGCGCGACTACTGAAAGGATATAGGTAGTATTTTATGAAGGTTACAAGCAGGTTTGTATCTCAAAATCTACCATAGTAACCTCTTGGAAAGCAGTGTCTGCGAATTATCAAGATCTTTTCTCTCTGCAACTAACGACTTCATCCAATGCAGGAGGCGGAATTCAAGCCTCTTTCTGATTTGCCTTACATCCAACATTTGATGTGGAGAAATTCGCATCTGGTGACAGCAGCTGTCAAATTTCATTTGAATAGAACAAACACGGCAATAGCAGAAGGTTTATCAAGGGTTGATAAACAGTTAATGACGTATTATTTCACTGGTGACATAGCTATGAACCCGTAGATGTTTCAGTGGGGTGGCTATATATAATAATAATAGAAAAACCGTTTCGGATTCATTACAATTTCTTGAATTATTAATAGAAAATCCCGTGGATTGGGCTACGTATTGGGCGCGTCCCCAGGTGGCGGATAGGGGAACCGCCAGGAGACTGAGAGCCCTGTACGGAAAACCAATGTGGCCTTACGGACGGGGTCGCTGGGTGGGGGAACCAAAACTCCCCAGAAGCCTTCGCGAAACTTGCCATCGTGGATTAGCCTACCCAAGCTAAGGTGTGAGGAATCGTGCTGACAGCTGAATGGTAGTAGGGTGATATGCGGTTACGAACGATCCCCTTAGGGAACCGGGCGAAATCTCATTATAATCAGCCTTCCTCTGGTAATTTAGGGATCTTCCAGAGTGATCAAGTCTTCCCCTCCTACTCGTATGAACCCACATGAATTAAATAAATGCATAAACAGACACATAATGAAAAAAAAAAACAATCACGAGCCTGGATATAAATGCTCATTCTAATATATGGCGGTGGCTGGGGATGAACCGAAATGTCCACCCCAATCTACCACTCGAAATGAGGCTGGACTTGACAGGTCATCTCGAGATACAATACAAAGGCCAAGGCGTAAGCGCATTCGTGGCGCCGAGGCCAAAAGGAGAAAGAAAGCGATAGTAGCAACTAAAAGTGCACCCTTGTCCTCCCCGACTCCACCTCCAACAGCAAGAGCAATTCCTGCGGCGGGCGCTAAGAGCTTCGCCTTGAATAAAGGCAAGGAACTGGCTGCCCCTGCAGGAAAGCGCCCTTACTTGTGCACCTCCACGGCGGAAACCCTAAGAAGGTTGAAGAAGCCGCACAACAACAGTAATGTCCCTGCACATTCCAAAAACCTACACGAAGGCCGCCATGAGACACCTCAAGGTTGCCTAATAGAGTGTGTATTCGGCGAGTCTTGGCCTTCACCTGCCGATATAAAGGAGATGTCTCCTAGTTACCTGTCTACCTTCCTAGAAAGGACAGGATGTACTAGGACCTAGGAGGACAACTCCTCGAGTGGATAGGTCATATGTGGCCTATGTGCTGTGTATCTTCAGTCACCCTTTCTACTCTACAGATACAGATAAAAGAAAATTAAAATTTGTATTCAAATAAATAGTTTTTTATTCAATAAACCAAAACCCACCACATCGAATTTAGCTTTTCAGGGTACTATTGAAAAATGAGCATTCCTTAGAACCATTCAGATAAGGTATCACATTACATTCTTCTCCCTAGTATGAAAATTGTTTTAAGCGATTCCTTATATTTCATACGGTTACTCAGTTCCATGATAAGTTTTTAAATTGTCACCCTTTATATGTTTGATATCGTTTTTCAATGCTTTGAATATGGTTTATTCATTTCTCATTTTCATTTTCGACTGAATTCTGTATGGTAGTTCTCACTCATACCCAAAAACAAATTTTAATTTTTTATGTCACTGTTATCTTAGCCAAAATGAACTGAATGTTGATTTCCTCTTTGTCCTCAACATAATAGAAAAATTGAATTTAAGCACTCTTGAAGTGTCACCTAAGAAATTACCATCATTCTACATCTGTATCTGTAGAGTAGGGAGGGTAAGTGTAAGCCCACGCACTTAGGCCACATGTGACCCATTGTACATCCTTAATTTTTGGATGACCGTTGCTTGTAGAACTTTCGGTCCCCATGCAATGGCTCCATACGTTAACATAGGTCTTATTATTGCAGTCTAGATCCAGGCGACTACACGGGGTGAAAGACCCCATGCGCGTCCCACTGTCCTCCGACATTGTTCGTAAGCCACGTATGCTCTTTTTGCGCTACTCTGTAGATGAGAGTTCCATGTTAGTTTCTTGTCGAGGATAGTTCCATGTTAGTCAGAGAAGTTTGCTCTTGAAGATTTCGGGAGGTTTTAAGCCCGTTAAACTTTTTTTCCTGGTGAAAAGGACCGACCATCTCAGTCTTCTTGGGATTGATCGACAGTGAGTGTTCCTTACACCATGTTTCCAATAATTTGAGCCCATCCTGCGCTCTATCGCACAGTGTGTTTACAAATTTGCTGGTCTGCAAGATAACTATGTCATCTGCGTATGCAATTGTGTAGAATCCATTTTTGTTAAGGTGATTAATTAGGGTATCCAGAACTATGTTCCAGAGAAGGGGTGATAGGACCCCTCCCTGTGGACATCCCCTCATGACCAGTCCTTTCACTATGATTCTACATTAATACTTATTGCTCTGCTAGAGAGCATCTGGAGTATCCTACCCGGGGTACATTCCTGGAGTGTAGTTGCTGGGTAATTGTTGGAAAGGTTGTTTTATCAAACGCTCCCTCGATATCTATGAATATACCCAGGGTATTCATAGATTCTACATAAATGAAAGAGAAATGTGAAGCTACTTCAGTCAACATTTATTTTTTTGAAATTTCCATAAAATCCTAGTATTTCATCATTCAATAGAGGGGCTGGTCTCAGTGATTCGTCAATTTGCAGATTTTCCAAAACATCGAATCTCTCTTTGTATTGGCAAAATTTTTCTCTCCAACGCTCTAGAAAAAAAAAAGAAACCGGTAAGCATCTCCATTTGGTTTTATGAGAAAACATTCAAAGATCATCTTCACCCAATTTTTTCAAGTACTTTATGTCCGTTTATGTCAATCAGGTTCTGCGACCAATTTTGATGAATGTCATTCCATATTACACCATCAACAGACACTGTTACTCTTTGATGCGAAGTTGACATTTTAACGTAATATTTCAGCGGAAATCATTCGTGATATACACTGATCGATAGATAATTTTACACCCTATACACTGATGCTGTTAATTTTTTTTTTTTAATTTGAGTTTTTCTCATGTTTTCGGCTCATTGCTACATTGCTACGGACATGATGTCTGTTCGATGTTGGTGCGAAATTTCGTTCCTGATATTTTATCTTCAAAGATGAGCACTGAATTGATCGACCAAAAAAAATCCAGGACGAGGATTCCGAAACCCAGGTGGAGACTGACTCATCACGAACGATACGAGATGGTGTTCCACAGAGATCCATATTGTCTTCAACCCTCTTTTCGTCGTATGTCAACGACTTATTGCTTTGCTGACATCAACACACTTGTCTCGTCATTCCATTTGGACTCCAGGACATGAGCTGCGTATGCACATTTTCACCGGCAACAAGAGGTGAAAATGTGCATACGCAGAGGATCTAGAAGTGATTTCGAATTTGGGTGGAGGTAACCAGGTTCAATTCAATGCCACAAAAATCCAGACATCGGCTTTCCCTAAAATGATGAATGCCTCCTAACTGGATATAAAAATAACAGGACAGAAAATTTCGCTGTCCGTTTTGATGACTTTGTTGACAGTTAAAATGGACACCAATATATGTTGGCCCAATCATCTTGCTGGAATTGCAAAGGCTGCGTCTCAAAAGTTTGGAACTCTGTTCCAAACCAGAAAACTGTACACACCTCAGCAACTTTTGGTGCTTTATAAAGCTCTGATCAGACCTTCTCTGGAGTATTGTTTTTAGGTATGGAGCTTCACTTCTAAGCATACCCTGAAGCTGCTGGATTCCATTCAGAAAAGGGCCATCTGCCTATTTGGAGACGCGAACATCACTTGCAACTTTGATAGTCTGGAACATCAAAGAAAGTTTGGAGATTTGCCCTTTTTTTATAGATACTTCCACGGAAAGTGCTCAAGTGACTTGGCACATTTCATTTGACCAAGAGCAATTCAAATCTAATATGGATCGCTACTTCTGCACAGATACCTCTCTCAGAGTACCTGGAGGATTTTACTGTACTGCTTGTATTATGTCCTTAGATAAAAGAACTGAGCATCAGCGCTCATGCGAATTTTGATGGTTCGGAACGTATTGAAGAAGGTAGAAATCTCGAAAAATGAGTACCTACCCTACGATTCGAAATCTTTTTTTTTTGCTTTTGCGCAACCGAAACAATTCTGTTCTGGATCGGATCGTAAAGTATGATAAGAAATGGAAACTCCACGACAATAGGAGACGTTCAGGACTTCAGGGAACTGAGAACTGAGCATCAGCGCTCATGCGGATTTTGATGGTTCGGAACGTATTGAAGGAGGTAGAAATTTCGAAAAATGAGTACCTACCCTACGATTCGGAATCTTTTTTCTGCTTTTGCGCAACCGAAACAATTCTGTTCTGGATCGGATCGTAAAGTATGATAAGAAATGGAACCTCCACGACAATAGGAGACGTTCAGGGCAGTGGTTGAACACCAATTAGCCACCTAGGTACTTTCCAGAGGCGAAAATTCACCAAAAAAGTAACATGGTTATTGTATGGTGGTCAGCCGCTAGTATGATTTACTATAACCTTCTGCAACTTAGTGAAACCATCATAGCATAGTCCTATTGTGAGGAAGTCGACGGAATGTACAGAACTGTATCACCTTTTCAAACACTTTAATAACTTTATCACCGGTGGAACCTTTGCTAATCAGGACTAGCCAGAAATAGCCGTCATCGACTTCATGGAATCCCGAAAACATTGTTTTATGCTGACGAAATTAATAGACTTGTGCTACGTTGGCAAATGTGCACTGATTCAACTAGCGCTTACATTGCAATTTGAAGTTGACTCATAAAAGTGATAAAACTTTTGAAGCAACACAATATTTTCCGAACTTCAGATCCGAAGCTTCAAGAAAGTCTGCCTGAGGATTGCCCCAAAATCACTCAGATACATACCTTATGTATACATCACCAAAAACTGTATCTGAGCACCCAATTTGTGAATGTTCGCCTTCGATTCCACGCCAAAAACATCTTCGAGCGAATCCGGGGGCACACTAAACCAGAGCTGCGTGGTCCCAACGACGTACTGAACAAGAACGACCTCCGATTGCACGAGAGGACGATGGAACAGAACCAAAGGCCACTTCCGAGAACCACCTTCCAGTGACTCCGGTAAGCAAAACAACCCTTCAATAACGCACATTCACACAATTCAAACAACAATTCACACAACAATTCAAACAAACAATTCACACATTCGAACAATTACACATATACGTCACCTGCAGGCATCAGGGACCATTATGCAAAGACTTGGTACAATATTATAGAGTTGAAAAGAAAACGACGAAAACGACAAATAGAAATCGAAGTACCAGAAGCTGACATCAAACCAAAAAATGCTAGATTTTCATCTTGTTGAAGTACCCACGAGGGTGAATGGATGGAATTACTAGCTTCTGCATACATTCATCGTATGTGGAAACTCCTATATCAGAGCATTCAACTAGGGGGGAGGAACAATTTGGTGGAATACATAAGTGTATCTCCAATCTTGAATGCGAAAACACGGACCTGAAATTCCCAAATAACAATTAATATGAAAAGCCAGATGACCAGGAGCTTCACAATAAATTTTACAGGGTGTAACATAAGTACGTTAAAATATTGAAGTGACGTATTCCTGGGACAATTTTAAGAAAACAGTCTATATGAACTTGTGTCCGGAAGTCCTTCGTTTCCTTGAAATTGATTTTTTTTGTTCATTTTTCAAAAATAACTTTTACGAAAAATTACTTATTCGCACGAAATTTGATACCCGGGGGTCTAGAGGGCGTTAAGTAGGCTGCCCTTACTCTCTTGACAGTAAATGTTTGGTACCCTTCATGAAAAACCTAATTATCACACCTTTTCCAAGTTGAAAAGTGTACTTCCCCAACAACGCTGGTGCTGAGCGTTTTCGAGACATTTACAATTTTCTATATCGATGCATATTACTCAAAAATGATATTACACAAGCTGAGTATGTGGTGGATCTTGTCAAAATAAACGACTTTTTTTCAGAAAGTTTATCGAAAAATCATCCGTTTTCGAAAACTGCAAAACACTTATGACAAAAACCAACCATGTTTTGGAAAATTTCAACAATCTGTATTTTGAAAACGAATGATTTCTCGAAAAATATTTTATAAATAATATTTGTTTATTTTGACGAGATCCACTACATACCTAGTTTTTGTAATGTTCTTAGCAACTTCACTAAACTCTTTAGAAGCTAAGAAATATGCATCGATATAGAAAATTGTAAATATCTCGAAGTGTTGTTGAGGAAGTGTACCATTTTTACTTGGAAGAGGTGTGGAAATTAGTTT